CTACATTGCTGAACTCCCATGTAGTCGACCGCAGTTCGAGTCCCGGACCCGGTGGCTTAAACTCACGCCGGGCGCGTGTGCGTGCGTGTCCAAGATCCCGAGAGGAGAATGGAGGAGAAGAGATTACGGCGTGGCCATCCGCCTGGGGGGGTGATTTCTCTCTTTCTGTCTTTCTGTCCCTCTGTCTTTCTGACGAGTGCACGCACCTTATAGCAAAAAAAGAAAAAGAAAAAAGAAAAAAAATACACGCACACAAACGAGTCAGCAGGTGGTCTAGTGGTTAAGGCGCTGGACTCCCACACGGCTGGCTGCAGTTCAAGTCCTGGACCCGATGGCTTGAAACTCATGCCAGGCATGTATGCATGCACGGCCAAGATCCCGAGAGGAGAATGGAGGAGAAGGGATTGCGGCATGACCATTCCCCCTGGGGGGTGATTTCTCAGCTTCTCTCTTGTTCTCTCTATGTCTCTGGTGAATACAACCCACCCTGTATCAAAAATCCCTCAAAAACAAAACAAAAACAAAAACAATGCCCACTCTGAAGTCAGCGTGGGGTTAGATCACCAGTCCTCAGGCCCTGAGACTCCATCCCCTGACTTGTTCACCTCTCCACTCCCATAGTAACCTCTTTTTTATTTAAAGAATTATTTTTAAAATTTCTTTTTATGTATTCGTTCATTTATTTTACTTTGACCAGAGAGAGACACACAGAGAAAGAGGGAAACTGAGAAAGCAAGTCACCGTGTCTGAGACTCGAACTGTGGTCAGCCAGGTGCGAGTGTCCGGTGCTTTAACCACCACGCCACCTGCTGGTCCCCTATTAACCTCTTTTTTGCTTGTTGTTATAGGGCAAATGTTCTTGCCAGTGGGGGTTGTGAGAAAGCATCTCCCAGTGGGGATGGCCATGCTACCGTCTCCTCCCCTCCATTCTCCTCTCTGGATTTTGGGCACACACGCATGCACGCATGGCCATGCACCTGTGTGTTTTCATGTCGTTGGGGCTGGGGCTTGAACCACACAGTTGGCAAGGTGGGATCCAGCCACCTTAATCACCACACACCACCGGCTGGCCACCATAGTAACCTTTCTTTGTTACTGAAAGAGATTCAGCTGAGAGACCAGCAGATGGCATGGTGGTTAAAGCACTGGATTCCCACATGGCTGACAGCAGTTCAAGTCCTGGATCCAGTGCCTTGAAACTCATGCCAGGTGTGCGTGTGTGACCAAAATTCCAGAAGAATTGGAGGAGAAGGGATTGTAGAGTGGTCATCTCCCCTAGGGGGTCATTTCTCATTTTCTGTCTCTCTGTCTCTCTCTGGTGAAGGCATATGCCCCAGCAGATGGCGTAATGGCTACGTCGCTGGACTCCCATGTAGCTGATCGTAGTTCGAGTCCTGGACAAAATGGCTTGAACTCACTTGTGTGCGTGCGTGCCCAAGATCCCAAGAGGAGGAGACCAGCAGTTGGTGTAATGGCTTTGTAGTTGGACTCCCATGTAGTGCACCACGGTTCGAGTCCTGGACCCGGGGTCTTAAACTCACGCCAAACACGTGTGCGTGTGTGCCCAAGATCCCGAGATGAGAATGGAGGAGAAGGAATTGCGGCATGGCCATCCCCCCGGGGGGTGTTTTCTCATTTTCTGTGTCTCTGTCTCTCTGTGCCTTTCTGGTGAGTGCACGCACCCTATAGCAAAAACCTTTCAAAAAAAGAAAAAACCTAGGGAAAAAAGAGGGAGGCCCGCAGGTGGCATGGTGGTTAAGGCACTGGAGTCCCACAGTTTGAGTCCTAGAGCTGGTAGCTTGCTTTCTTACTATCCCTCTCTCTCTCACTCTGTCCCTCTCTGGTCAAATTTAAATAAATAAATAAATAAATTTAAATTTTTTTTTATTATTATTATATATATTTAATTTGACAAGAGGAGAGAGAGACAGAGAAAGAGAGAGAAGGCCGCCAGGTCCGAGACTCAAACTGTGGTCAGCCATGTGGGAGTCCAGCACTTTAACCACCATGCTACCTGCTGGCCCCTAAAATAATTCTTATTTATTCATTTATTATTTTTTTTTCACATGAGTTTTGCCAGAGAAAGAAAGCGAAAGCAAGCCACCAAGTCCGGGACTCGAACCATGGTCAACCATGTGGGAATTCCAGCTCCTTAACCACCACACCACTTGCTGGTTCCCCCCCTAAAATAATTCTTTAAAGAAATAATAAACTTGGGAGATCAGCAGGTGGCATAGTGGTTAAGGCACTGGACACTTCCACATGGCTGGCCATGGTTCGAGTCCCAGACATGGTGGCTTGCTTTCTCACTTCTCTCTCTCTCTATGTCTCTCTCTGTCAAAATAAATGAATGAATACATTTTTAAAAATTTAAAAATACCCTTTTAAAAAAATATTTATGTCCCGTTAGACTCCCAACCCTAAAAGCAGAGGAAAAGGCTTGGAGCTGGCAACCAAGCACCCACTGGCTCCTACTCCCATCTATGGGGAACAG